GCCCCCCCCCCCACCCCACCCACCCCCCCCCCCCACCCCCCCCCCCCCCCCCCCCCCCCCCCCCCCCCCCCCCCCCCCCCCCCCCCCCCCCCCCCCCCCCCCCAGTAGTTGTTCTCCTATATAAATCCCCATATATATGCTCATATATAAATTATCAATCACATATAGGGACCCGGACACGTATAATCCTACGTCTTCTGTTCTCGAGTGCGAATTAGCTACAATACATTATTCATTTGAGATTCAATCGACCAGGCTTTTTGTATTATTACCGCAATGGTACCCAGGTACATCAACACTATTACATCTTCTCATGACCTAAACTTATAACCACTGTACCATAGGTATAACGTAGGTATATTTAGAATGTACATTATATCGCCTGTAAATCACCTAGGTATACTTGATAAATAAGAGCAGACATCACATAGGTCTATCTAGACCCGAATAAAATACCGCTTACACCGAGCTATCTTCATCTAATAAGTTTGTCTCGTCTAATAGTCGCCAACGATATCCGTTTTACTTAAAAGCGTAAACTAAGTAGACTACTAACGCTTATTCTCATTGTTTATTAAAGAGAGTGGCAGTGAAATAATTAAAAGGGGCATAAGTCCCAGATCTCACCACGCTCAGCACATAATCTATACTCTATACTCTACACTCTATACACAAACCACCTCTTCACATAACGATCAGTCGCTTGGTAAAAGGTCACCACATCACCCTCTAGCGAACACGAACACGAGTAATATCATAAGTTTGAAATGGTGGTAGTCGTTAAGTATATTTACATTTAATTACATCAAGGGGCAGGTACTATAAAGGCGTTCCCTTTTCCCCTTAACCATCAGAACCATAACATCATGAGATATACGACGGGACTGTCACGGCAAACGTGATGGCCTAACATAAAGTCCTACGATACCCCAGCGACCAAAAGGAACAAAACGCCACTGAATGAATCTTATCCTGTAGGACAGAGAGCTACAGCATAACCCAGTACGCCACCGATACCCAGACAGAGACTCTAAAATAGCCGTCCCCTACAGACAAGACACCGATGCATTACCCCTGACACGAAGCGATTCATAATGTTCAGCGGTCTTTTTTGCCCACTATGCCCACTTGCTTTTCCTATATATTATTTCTCATACACATTAACCAAGAATCTCAGCCTAGAGCCCAGTGAGCATCCATACCTGAAAACCAAGCAGCTCACGCCACAATGTCACTAGTATAAGTTATCAATCACGCAACACTCTCATTCCTCGAGACGGAAAACACATCGATACCGCCTTAGTTTAAGCCCAAGACTATTCTAAATGTCCCCAACTCCTCCGTCTAGCCTCAAATACTATACGATCGTAGCTATGATTCCCGCGTAGTCTAAGTTTCCTCAAACGTGCCCTTTATCATAATGGTATCTATTAAAATGCGGTTAAGACTTCCATCACATGTTACTCCTAAAAACGCTAGAAGATCTATTCCAACTGCGCCCACCTCTTTTCCCGTACCGACAACTCCTTTCCTGTTAATTTGCCGTCGCATTTACTAGCCTCTCTCCACCCCCAATACTCTCCTAACCTAATCTCGGCATATTCCGCGTAGTCAAAATCGATGTGCGAAATGGTCGCCTGGATCAAGGCCCAGATTCCCCAGTAAAGTCCGGGCACACCACGGAATATATCTACTTCAGCAAATAGTTTCTGTGCTTCTGCTTCCTCGTCTATGTTATCAGGCTTGTTAGGTAATATACTGAAATAAGTGTGAATATATTCCCGTATGAACTCTAGCCGTTGGGCTCGAGTTGGTAACACAGTAAAGTCGCAGTCAAACCCACCCCATTCCGCAAAGTGGTTAGCCAAGTCGAACGCCGCAGGCGAAGGAGTGGCATATTCATAGTCTATAAAACTGACTACCTTCTGCAGACCGCCCTCCTCTTTAGTGCTGCTTAAATCTTGAGGCTCGATGATCACATTTCCACTTAGGAGATCGCAGTGCGCAAACACGAGCTATGGGCACCTCTAGTTAGCACTTGAGAAAAATACTAGTTGGATTTTCAGTACTACTTACGCCATCATCACCTAGTCCAGGTCGTTGGCTCAGCTCGTCAACGAGCTTAGTCAGCTCTTGCTGGAGGTTGGCCTGTCTCGTGCGCTGAGTCTCCGTCTTCGTAGGGAGGGCAAGGATCCACTTCTGCATAACCGTCCATACGTTGGGCGAGGGTTTCCCTGGTGCGGCATGCTCAATTTCCACTTCGTGATGACCGTTGCTGGTCCCATTTACCCCGTTCTTCTGCGCATGCGTCTCATATATGCAGGGCACAGTAGCATGCCATTGTGCTAACCGATTCGCAACAGCTAAATATATAGACGGCGTCCTCAAGTCGGCAGGTTGAGTGGGCGTGCCTCGGATATAACGATATATCATGCCATTATCGAAGCGAGCGAGTAATTCGGGGGCCAAGCCGCATTTCATCAGCAGCTCGTGGTTCTGGGTCTCACGGTGCCTGTCTATGAGCACATCGGTTCCGTGCCCATATGCTCGTAGTAGAACCGCCTCCTTATCCACTTCGTCTTGAGATAGCCCTTCCTTCCTATTAATGGCTTTTAATAATGTATTGGTTATACCATCCTTGAATGGTACAAACTCGATATTGGAGTCAGGGCTCGACCATTCTGGAAATAGGGCGAGAATGAGTGCACGAGCCGAGGCATTGGAGTTGTCGTTATCGTATGAAATGGGAATGTGTCGTAACTGGCCAAAGTGGCCGTTGGCGACTCCGTTAGAGTTAAACGAAGGCATATTGCACAAGTGCTCAGTCGATTACTTGTCGTTGTTTTTAGGAGCACAGTATACGGTATACGGTCATAGAGGGATCAAAGTTTCGAAAGGATTTGCCTGCTTCTTCTGGAGTAAGTAAATAAATAGAAGAAAAAAGTTCCAGTTCACCGCCTAGCGTGCGAGTGGGAGAATGTAGATTGTGGATGTGTCGCAAGGGTAATAATTTAAGAGCGATCAAACGTTGAAGCGGAGGGCAAACTTGAGGTGGTTGGGACGTTTTAAACGATGGTTGTACGTATCAACAAACAGCAAAACGTCATTGCCGTCCTGATGCAGAAGGAAAAGGGTGTGTGTGAATATGGGGTGTAATTGGGGATGTGCAAAGGGAGAGATCAACGGTTAGTCGACCTGTGGGAGTGATTAGCAGTGGTCAGGGACCAACTAATCGAGTTAATTGATCGAATTAAACCCAGGGGAGGCAGGGGAGGCAGGGGTAGCTGCAGCCCTAGAGCACCTAAATCTTGGGAAGAGGTGGCAACCTCCTACATATTGCGTGGTACATACATATGCACTTTCATCCCACGAGATCTTTTCTAGATAAGTTGCGTGTTTAATAAAAAAAAAAATAGTAAGTACCTTGCAATAATATTTATTTCATGTAAGCGATAGATTTGAATGGAGACAATAGGATGAATGTAGATTATAAGAAATAAAAGAGGGCCAAGAATCCAAGAATCGAAGAGAAAGAGTAAAGGAGCAAGAATACGTGCATATGACATGTGCCTGAGAAAGTAACAATTGTACAACTTCGTACCTGCAAAATACCAAAGTCGAAAGTCACGAGGCCAGTTTCCCCTCCTGGTTTAAAGCTAACCTACATGTATGCATGCAAAATAAAAGGTTAAAGACCAAAAACTAGAATGTACATAGCTCAAGTTTACCTCCACGTGCGTTGGTTGCATGTATTAAGCTCGAACATAGATTTATTCAATCAATATAATTCAGCGTAGGTACGGAATACTTTGTATTTAACAAAAGAATTTAGGTTTAATGGGGTTATATCGAGTAGGTACTCTGACAATTCTATTGTTGGTTTAGAGGGGCTCAATCATGTATGTATGTATGTATGTATGAATGTATGTCTTGGGTAGCTTCGTCTACGTAATATATGTGTATGTAAGCACCTTACACAACTTACCTAGCCCACAATACCTACATGTACCCAACGTAACTAAGAGTAAACACCTAAGGTACCTATGCAGGTAAGCACTACATTGGCTTGTCTAGATCAGCTGGTACCATAAATATAGCAAATGACCCGGATATATTGCCGTTAGTTCGTCTCTCGAATCATATGCATCCCACCTTTATATTAGTTACATACATATATCCTATTATACTAATCCATTACACATAACTAAGCTCGTACATCATCATATGTCTATATGAAATCCCGTCATACACTCCTACCAGATATTCATTCATGCCATTAACCAAAGTACATTCCAATTCGAAGCAGAGCCCAGATCGACCTCCCTAATCATCTTTATCACCTTCTTTAGGTTTAAGTCTCAACCAAGTCCGAAGAGTTTGAAGAACTCTGCTCATCCATTCCGCTGTGACGGCTGCCCAAGCATCTAGTTCGTCTATCGCGAACATGAGCAGCCTGCTGAAGAAGAACAAACTCACAAATGACACGCTCGCTATCACCGCGAATGCGGTCCAATACATCTTGCCGGTCCAGTACTTGTACAGATCCTCGACCTGCACAGAGAAGTAGCTCGTCATAAAGCTGATCGGGAGGAAGAAGACGCTGAGCTTAGCTAGTAGCGTTGCGCTTCTCGTCAGTCTTGCCGTTGCTTGAGAGTCCTTCTGCTGCGTTAAGTTGAAGTACTGTGTAAAGTTAGCTATGCTCACGAACCAGGTAATATAATTAGTTGCTCTTTCTTACTGTGGTCGATAGTGCCCCTATTTCTTCGAGATATCCTTCAATAGTGTTCAGCATGAGATACTGAAGCCGATCGCTTAACCTATCAAATCGACTGAGCGCCGAGTTTGATAGGTATACTTTTCGATCTCCATCGAATAATGCACCATTATGATGCAATTCTGGCTTCCCCACCACCATGATCTTGCTTATCAGGTTTTTGTAGTTCTCGAACAAATGTTTGAACTCTCGAAGATCCTTGCTTAGATAGTGTAATGTAGGTATAATCTCGTAGCTCTTAGACATTTTTTTTCGGCGCTATAATACAACACTTAGTAGCTGTCACGCGGAGTTGATGGCAGTTCGACGTACCGTGCTCTCTAGCACCTTTTCAGTCTGCGTAATGAAGGTTAGTACTGACTTTTCTATACGGAGGAAACTCAGCTTACCAGTTCTTCCAATTCCTGTTCCGCAGCCTTGAGAGGGCCTGCCGCAACGTAGTCCTCAAATAAGTAATAGAAGAGGTTACTTGTCCCTTCATCGGCTAAACTCCCTATTTCGCTATTACTGAAAACAGACATCCCCGATTGTTGTCTATTTACTTCTCGCTTGGATCCTCCGAGCGATGTCCGAACCGAGCTCTGGGCGAGTGGGTTATTCTCATACAGCGGATACCCTTGCTTGGAAAGTTGTCGGAGGATATCTAATGTATGAGCTCTCATATACTCGAATTCAGCTTGACGCCACTTTATCCAATCTTCTTTGTCCGGTACTGGCTCTAATGAGTGCTGCTCATGAATCGATAGAACAGTGTCTATTCAAAACATTAGTAATTGTGTAGTGTCACAACGATAACGGCGTAACACATACGGTTATTACAGAGCACGAGCCATTGCCAGTGTTTGGGCGGCATTATACTGATCCGAGGGTGTTTGCGCGCTGGTGTTGGCCGCTTATGTAGCCAATTTGCACCGATACAGAAGGCTTTTTAATGAGGTTAGCACGGGGAAGCAAATCTGGTATCCTGAGAAGTGTTTACCTTTCGGCGTTTGGTCCGTAGAGAAGTAGTTTACAGTGTCTTTCACTTGCAAATATAGAGCAATGTTATCGTTAAGCTCTGCGGGAGCAAGAGGGTTCGTAGGAGGGTTCACAGGAAAGTCGTCATATACGCTTTCACCTTTCTCCACGTCCCGGGGCCCTCGAATATGGGCCATCGTGACTCTTCTTCTATGTTTATGCCGTCGTATCTCGTCCCTCTGGGTTCTTGGCGTAATCATTAGACCAAGTAACCTAGGCGAGAATTCGTATCTTTCGCTTATGGCCTTCATGATATCTTTCTGCTTACTAGGATCCCATATGTTGCTATGGCTTTCATTAGTCTATCTGCGATAGCTATATCGAAGACTTATAACTTACATCCATCGAATAGGGTATTCTTTCTTTTCGTCGGGGTCTTGGTCAAGGAGTAGCTTCCTGGCGTCGTGTATATCGAAGTCGAATGCAATCCGCGCTCTTTCGGACCCGAACTCGACGACGAAATTCTTGCTTTCCTCATTTCTCATGTGCTGCTCGGCTTCCTTAAAGACATGCTCCAGGTCGAAGTCATGAAAGACAGACCCGGGGCTCTCGGGAGGAGTTATATCATTACCAGACGCCATCACGTAAGATCGAGATTACTGATTTTTGTTCTTAAGGTGAGAATATAGTATGGACGTTAGATTGAAACTCATCGTGGGGTTTATATAGTACTGCTATATTATATTGTATTGTAAAAAGAGAAGAAGAAATCAAGCGAGGCTATGATACAATACGGACTTTCTACACTTTTCAGCTATTCGACGCCTGTCACAGGTGGTTCGTCACATGCAGGGATTGGTTGAGCATGCGACATAATTCATGCTGGGAGTCTTGGGGGTATTGGGGGTATTGGGGGTATTGGGGGTGGGGATAAGGGAGGAAATGACCAATGATTAGGCTCATAGAATTGCGATCGAGGGCGGCAGATATCGGATCGTCCCATAAGGTTTAGTACAATACATAAGGTTAACCGCCCGACCGGATTGGATCCTGCCTGCTTTGCTCTGCCCTGCCTCTTTAAACCCTAGGTACATAAGACATGCATGCAGCCGTCTAGCAAACACCAGGGACTAACATCGACCGCAGCACCTGCAACTGCTGGGTTAGGAGGTACTTACCTTATGTATGGCTATGTACATAGCGTTATTTGAGCAACTACGGACAATAAGCTAAGCCGTTTTCTTATTAAGACGTCAAGACATGGTAGCTACGATTGGAGTGCAACTCCCATATCTAAAATAGTGACTCATATTCGTTTAATATAAAGTTCAATCAATATCTTAATCTACTATGTAGAAGGTTCGTATGTACCTAGGTTCGTATGCAGTTATCTAAATTCCCAAAACCCTCTTTGGCGATCTGTAACGAAGCGCGGAAGCAAACCGGGTGGCTATGATAAACCCGCCTACCCGTATCCATTAGCACATCCGAGTCCAATCATTATCCTGTTTGTCATAAGCGCGGCTGCATCTCGAACGTTGTCTCGAACCAACATGCCCGGTCTCACGGAATGGCGCATTGAGCTTATACCGCCTAACGAGGAAGGCTCCCACTTCTACCTGGACTATTATAAGCCTTTTAGGCTGGCTGCGTTGGAACAAGATCCTGACGGTAAGGTTCACCGACAAATGATTCTGGCATACGTGTTGGTGCGCCCTCGAGGTTGACACAACATGATAACTGACATGATTTACTGACTATGCGGGCCGGGTTGGCCACTTATACGAATAGTCTTCGGCTCGACTTACGATAGAGAAATCAACTTTAGTAATGCCGACTGGCTCAGCCGCATTAATAACCCTCTTGTAAAGACCTTCGTGGCCGTGCGCCTGCATGATAGAAAGGTTCTATCCGCTACGTCATTAATTGGACCGATGCCGAACTCAGGCCCGGCCAGCAATCCGTTCCAAGTCAGTTCTGAAATGAGAGATGGCAGTGATCATCATCATCAGAATCAGAATCACGGTGAGGCCTCATCTGTACATTTCCAGATCAGCGGCGTTTACACGCTGCCAGAGGCTCGACGCCAAGGTCTCGCCAAAATCCTAGCCGAGACTGCAATAGAAGAGGCGTTCGCTTATTCTAAGCAGCATGGCAAATGCCTCGCGCTGAGCCTCGTCGTGTATACGTTAAACGACGATGCGATATTATTCTATAAGAGCTGCGGCTTCGTAGTCAGCGCAGAAGGGACAAGGAAATCTTTTAACCCTCACAAGAACGCTTCTACCGACGAAATTTGTATGCATTACCAGAAGTCCCCTGAATGACACTTTTTTCTCCCTCCTATCAGCCCCTTTTGAAAATAAAATGAAGATTACCCCAGAGATCTTCTCGACATAATCCGCTTGTGGCTCAGCTAGCCGTCTATCCTGACCAACCATAAACGGCGCCCCGTCTAGTAGGGCTTGGCAATACAGTAAAAACGGGCAGCTTGTGACGTTCGAGTCCCCTGGATTGGCTTGCAAGCGGGCCGAGTAATTAAAGATCGCCTAAAGGCTGTCCCCAAAACCGACAGAGATTATCGTCTGGCACGCCGATAATCCTAGTTCACGATGTTTCATACCTTCACCAGCAAACACTATGATCACAGGCAATCTCTTTTTAGGCCCGGCGGTGATGCCGAGCCCATTTACCATACAATATGACGTGAAATTCCGCGCTGTCAAACTTCACGTCGCTGTCCCTATTTCTTCAGCTTCGCGCTCTTTCGTTGTCACTTATCACATCAGACAGGCCTGATAGCATTCATTCATTTTCAGCGCGCAATCATTCGTTTTCTAGAAGAACCTTATTTTTAATAATATCACTCTACATAGCATATCTTATCATTCATTTATAAATCCGGCAAAATGTTGGCAAAACAGCAAACCGCAACTCTCCTATACGCCGCCCTCTTCGGCTCTTCCCTCGTGCAGGCCGCGTTCCCGACCTGCATCACGAGCTGTGTCCGACAGAATGGCTGCCCTCCCACCGACGTGGACTGCATGTGCAAGAAGGTTAGCGGCAACTTTTTATCCGACGTCGTGGTGTGCATGAACCAGTGGTGCTCGTCCGACACCACTCTCACGGACTTGGTCGGCCCCATTCAGTCCAACTGCGACATCCCCAAGTCCGCCCTCCAGGCCGCCGAGAGTAAGGCCGCCTTCGATACAGGCTCTAGCTCTGATTCCGCTTCTTCCTCTGACGAGAAGCCCACCTCTACTGGTGGATCCTCCACCGCGAAGCCCTCGGTCATCATGAGCGTTGGCGCACCTTATAAGATCGACGGTCCTACCTCGTCTACCTCGGGCCCGGCGCCTACTGGCAGTGCTACCAAGGGCTCTGCCTCCAGCATCGTTTTGTCTGACACCACTGCTGTTGTTGGTCCGGCTCCCACTGCTTCTGAGTCTCTCCTAGTTGCTGCTACCACGTTTACTTCCAGCGCCGCCGCCAGCACCCCCACCAGCAGTTCTTCCGGCTCTAGCTCTAGCTCCAATTCCAGCCCTAGCTCCAGCTCAGACGGCACACCCGGCAGCGTCCCCTCCGGCAACTCCACGGAAGAAGGCTCCGCCTCTAGCAGCCAGGCCTCTCTTCTCGCCGCCGTTCTCGCCGTCGGTGCCGCCATGGCTTTCGGCTGGTAATCGTCAGCCGGCTAGCCAGTCTAGTAGCGGCTCTTACTGGCATAGGGGCCGCGTAAACACGATGTCATTTTTTCCCATTCCAAATGTACGTATTGCGTCAATGTATAATAATACCCTAGAAAAAAAAGCGGCAATGGACTACCATCGATAAACTTTTTTGCTGTGCCGGGCCGGCAAGCTGGTAGTCTCGCAAGACATTGCTGTAACAGACAAACAGACGGATAGACTCGAGTGCAGCTAGTTGGTTACCTATTAGTTGGTCTGTCTGGCGGCGGGGAGAAGAGCGATCTGCTTGCGGCTCGCGCGGTGGAGATACCCTGATGCGGAGGTGCTGCCTCGGTTGTTGATTTTGATGTTGATATTGATAGTGATAGTGGAGATAATTAAAACAGAAGCTCGATTATGAGAGATATCTCGCTGGCTACCTGCTTCGTGATGTGTTTGTACTGAGGAGTTAATGCTTGATTTGGATTAGCTTGAATTACTATAGAGCTCTTGAACTAAACTTACGGCATCTGAATAGTGGTTCGGAGGGACTCGCAGTTCCAGCCTGTTGGATTTTCAAGAAAGGGGTCTCCCCTATGTATTAGTTTAAAGTCTGATTGCCCGATGAGTGGAGCTTTAATTATTGTAGTAGCTTATTGTCTTTGCAGCCCCTGAAAGGGGACAAAAGCACATTAGGAGCCATTTGGTACGTCTAGTTCGTACGCCCAAACTAACTCCCCCAAATATCATCATTTATTTATCTCCACGAGGTAGCTAGCCTTGAGTGTTGTAGCTATAGTCATTGCTGGCCACGATAGATCCCAAGACGTACATCTTATCAACTAACCCCTATATTAGAACCCCGAAGTCGACTCATCGCCCAATAACACATGCTCAAGGATCTGTCGATACCACCCATCGATACCCTTCCCCTTCTTCCCCTCACCACCAGGCGGCGCTTTGATATCCTGCTCAAGGAAAGCTCGCGCAACAGCTTCAGCCTCCTCGAGCTTCTGCGTCTCCGAATCCGATAGTCTAGTGCACACGACCTCGAGATCTTCATTATTAACAATCATTAGCATAATCGATTCGGCTCTCTGGACCACAGCCTCGTCGATCCCATTTATCGCCGCGCACCGACTGCCAAAGCTGGAGATGCTTCGGCCTGGCGCCAGCTGGAAGAGATGCGTAACTTGATCCTCCGTAGTTGGAGCATCGAAGTCAACTCTGATCTCCATGTGCGCAAAGGCTAGCTCTGGGGTCTCTACTAGGAACTGGCTTTCGAAGATCTCGTGGAAGTGCGTGGCGGCTAAAACCTTAGGCCGCTCAGGACCGAGAGAAGTAAAATGGTCCAGTACCGCTGTGACTAAACCGGCACCGTCTAGGCTGTTAGTACCTTTTCCGAACTCATCTATTAACACAAGACTCCGGCGTGTTGCAAAGTTCATCGCAAAGGCAACTTGACGTAGGTCAATAGAAAATGCGCTCTCATTCTTTGCTACACTTTCACGTGTAGCGATCCGTGTAAGAATACGGTCCGTGATTCCGATCCGAGCTCGTTCGGCTGGGACGAAACAGCCGATATGTGCTAGATAGACAATGAGAGCGGCCTGTTTTAGATATATGCTCTTCCCGGAGTGGTTAGGCCCTGTTAGTACCAAGGTGCTTGGATGTTCTATAGAGTTCCGCTCAAGTTCTGCGGAGCTCTCGTCCTCTCCTTCATCGGTTTGTTCGCCTGGCCCGCCAGCGAGAAAGCAGTCATTGGCGATGAATGATGGGACCACAAGTTCCTGCAGAGGGTGGCGACCCCCTTCAATGTGTATGACATTATGTGTAGTCATTTTAGGTGCAACCCAGTTGTACTGCCCGCAACCAATCGCCAGCGCGAACAGGCTGTCGAGTTCACCGAGAACATCGGAGGCTGCAATTATGGCTTCGCGTTGGGCCAAAACCTTAACAGCGAGCTCGTGGATAATTTCAATCTCGCGGTCTATAGGATATTAGTAAGTTCACTTGGTAGTGTAGCGTATATAAAAAGGAGACTTACCAATAATCATACAATACGCATCTCCAAAATGTTCATCCATCTCCTTCATCTGCCGATTCTTATAATACACGCAACCTTCAGCCACGAACATACGCTCCCATACATCATCTACACCTTCGCCGTTATAGTTACCCCTTCCTGTCTCGGGGTTAAGTGAAACTACCGTTAAGAAACCTAGCTGCGGAAAGAATATGCAGTTTTGTATGTACTTTCTTGCCCATTCTGGCAACTCGCTTCGTAGTTTTGCGATGACGTTAGTTAAGAAATGTTCCATGCCATCATAACTGCGCTTTAATTCGTCTAGATCAGCATCTACGCCTTGTCTGACGGCTGTCTTCCCGCGTTCCATTGATTGATCAAAATCAATGGTTTGGCTAATCAGTTCGCCTACTTGACGAAGAGCAAGCGGCTGAATGACACTGATCACCTAATAACACTTTAACACACAGGGTTGAATATGGGAATTTATCATGTCTTACCTTTCTAATGATCTCAATATTCTCTGAACCCGGCAGGGTCCGAAGTGATTCTGCAATTTGTAAGCTATAGGCTGCGAATCGTTGCAGTGAAGCCCAGACACTGTTCGCTATAGAAATTTTACGCCCAGGTACGTCGACTCCCTTTTCAAGAAGGGCTACTACTGATTTCATATTCTTGACTTTCTTAAGCTCGTTGCTTAGCTGACCAAGGGCCTCGGCATTCCCTGGTCGCAGCAGAAACGATATCGTCTTCTGGCGGGCATGGATCAAATCAATATCAGTGCTTGGTCGTAGAAAGATCTGGCGGAGTTTCAATTTGCCCTGTGGTGTACGGGCTAGATGTTGAAAGAGCCCGTAGACAGATAAACTTTCTTTAGCCCCTGAGTTACTGGGACCTCTCAGATGGCTGTTTGGATGATACTCAGACTGTAGAATCTGAAGTGACACTAGAGTATCAGCGTTGACAAACATGGAGTCAAATAAAGCGAACATCTCGACCGATCTGATTCTGAATGCTACTAGGGCATCAGGGTCGTTTGGTAAGTAATTCACTGTTCTCCTTCTCTGAAGGTCTCCAAGCACTGCACCAGCACAGCCGATCTGCCACTCGTTAGAAATATGGCATAACATAGATAGATTCTAATATCTAACCGTTAGCCGGCTATCAAGGTTTATTGAAGTTCCAAGGCGCATCAGGCGACCTTGCCTTGAGCTTTCATGTCCGCCAATATCATCGGCTTCATCCATGATATCGTCAACGACAGATGTGAAAAGCACGCTCTGGCGGCCAGGCGTTTCGAGATTTAGTGCTAACAGTTTTCCCTTTCCAACATCATAACGGAAGTCGGCAGAGTTGAGATTTCTCAGGATATATGCGCTCTGCAAGTCACCTATAAGATTCATTAGTAACGCTTCATACATTCATACTAACACCTTTCAGCTTACTTCGATTTCCGTCAACTCCCTGTGCTCTCCTCGCAAGATAGTCTGCTAATTTCTCAGGGGCCCTGGCGGATATAAGCACAGTAGTAGGGTTAACATGGAAAAGAAGTGTCTCAACCAGATCCATTCCTGACATAGCTACGTCTTCGAGGAGAAATAAGGTTTCATCAATTGCGATGTAATAAGCACATCCAAGATTGCCGTTTTCTTTCATATCAATTGCTAGGATGATTTCGCTTAATGCATCGGCATCTTCGTTGGATAGCACATCGTCGACGTGCGAGTCATCATCACCTTCAGTACGACTGTGATTATTTGCTGAGATCTGACTGGATGGAGGACGTAGGGACAGCCTTTGTCTCTGAGGATGCTGTGGATGATGGGGGGAAGACGGATAGGGCAGTATCGTAGCCCTCGAGCTTACACGACTTAAGTTCCCCCTTGATGAACCCCTATTTGACGAGCTGAGATATGCAGGAGCGGCATGATTCTGTACTTGATTAGGGGTTGAGAAGACACGATTATTTATAGCCGATGGAACAAATAACGAGCTAGACTGGCTGAAGAGATTAGTATGAACTGATTGCTCTGACGATACCCTAGACGGGGTCTGATATCTTTGACTGCGCGGCATATTGTAGTTCTAGTTTCTCAAAGGATAGCACTCTATATGGGATATAATATATAGGCACTTTGTACTTGGTAAGAGATGAGGGAGAGAGAGAGAGACGGATGGTAAATGTGTTAACCTAGATGGATTAGATAAACTAGCGTTTCTGACTAAACATATCTCGACTCTAGTATTGCTCCTCGTTATAGAAGGAGAAGTTTCATACTTTTTCATACTTGAGTTTAGGAAGAAGACGGAAGGTGCTACCTCCCTGCGGGCCTGCGGGAGATATTTTCCGTGGTTTCCAAAGACACACCTGAGAAAAATAAAGGTAACGGCGTTCCCACTCGGCTTCGGTTCATTCCTTCAATAAATCCACTAGGGCCAGTGGCATGTGTGTGGGATAGTTTTATTTCGTCTTGCTTCATACGAGCCGCGAAACATAGCGCAGTACCCTAGTAGCTTCGAGCATGTATCCCGTATGTTTACTATAAACAGTCATGAGACCTAATAGCAAGTATGGCCTGGTACCAGCGTCTCCGGGTGGCCTCTATACACATCGCTCGACTTCGAGTCTATTTGTTTTTGACCCATTCGGCGAACTCGTTCCTCTGCTTCCGAATATCGACAAACCCTGGACGACTCTCTAATAGCCGGAATGGATTCCCAACGTAGTCTTTCTCTACCTCCCCGCTGCTGTTTAGAAATCCTGCCTCGCCTTCTCGCTCAATCTTCCCTGCCCAAACACGCCATTGGATGGGTCGCAAGTTAGACGTGCCCAACACCATGCCCAGACAGACAACAAATGTCGCGACGATAGTTTCGATGGTTATATCGATCGGTAGCGTCGTAGTTGCACCGCTGTGTGATGTAGTCAAGGAGGAGAGCGATGCGGCTCGATGCGTTTGTAGAACAGAATGTTCGTAAGCAGAGTAACAGCTAAAAACGGAAGCTGTCGTGAGCTGTAATATTCTCTTACTTGGAGAGATAGGTGTCCTTACGAATCTGCTAGAAGTAATAGCCCGAAAGCCGTTACTAATTTGGAAATCCAAGTCATATTTTCGAGAGTCCGGGTAGGTGGTGATTAGGTCGCTTTTCGCAAAATGGGTGATGTCTAAATTGAATGGCCAATTCAATGGGTTACCATACAAAGTTACCTAGGTACCTAGGTAACTTTGCCAAGAGGGCAACTACAAATGTATAATACGTAAGGGTCGTACCTTACGTTGGCATCTAAGTGGATACCAAATATGTAAAACTTAGCTATTATGCACTAAATAAGTATTAACATATGATTCACGACGGTAACACCTAAGATAGTAACTTCCCTCCTATCGGTGCTACTCATCGGTCCTACTGGTAATTTACCCCGTGCTTGCCCGTTTAACCACGGATACTGTACTGAGGTTAAGACTATTAGTTCCTACCTTAGCTGTTTTAGTTATGCGTGAGGCAGGTACTATGGTGTCGTGCAGGTCTGCGTTAAAAACCCCGCAATGTAAGAAGGAAGCTCCCCGCAGTGATCTTGAAAACAGTGATCTTGAAAACTACCTACGTAACCATCGCAGTAGTTTGTCATCTACAATAAGATCAACTACTTTCTGTCTCTAAACCAACCCGATCAAGCACCAGCACGACTCAGTTAGCCATCCTTGCATCATCCAACATGCCTCGTGTAAGTGGCTGGATTTGTTTACTCTATTCTCTTATTCCTTTGTATTTTCTATGCTTTCAAAATGCCTTTAAATGTTATCTAACACTTTGAATCAATAGGTCAAGTACGTCCTGCTCGACTGCGACAACACGCTTTGTCTGTCGGAGCGTTTGGCCTTTGAGGCTTGCACCGACTTGACCAACGAGGTCTTGGAGAAGTGGGGCAAACCCGAGCGCTACACTGTCGAGCAGCTGCTAGAGGACTTCGTCGGCCACAATTTCCGTGGTATGCTCATTGGCTTGCAGAAGAAGCACGACTTCACTATGACACCTGAGGAAGTGGATGCGTATGTCGACCGTGAGCTCGGTGCCGTGACTGCAAAGCTGAGCGAGAAGTGCCAGCCCTGCCCCGGCGCACCTGAGCAGCTCGAGGCGCTCAAGCAAGCAGGGTACCCCATGTCTGTTGTCAGCACTTCAGCCAAGCCCCGTGTCGTTGCCAGCCTGAAGAAGGTCGGCATTGACCACTACTTCCCTGACGAGCACGTGTACAGCGCTGCTACTAGCCTGAACCCTCCTTCTAGCAAGCCTGACCCTGCCATCTACAACTACGCCTGCAAACAGCTGGGTGTCAAGAATGAGGAGTGCGTTACCGTCGAGGACAGCAAGAGCGGCGCTACCGCTGCCATGCGTGCGGGTATCCCTCTGATTGGCTACGTCGGTGTCTACGGTATCGAAGAGGGCAAGGAGAAGATGGAGGAGATGGCCAAGCTCTTGACCGAGCAGTGCAAAGCCAATGTCATCATGTACGACTGGAAAGAGTTCCCGGAGTGCCTCAAGAAGATCGAGGAGTCACTATAAGTTGACTTGCATGATGAAGTCGGCTCGCATCTTACGGAAGCTTCTCCTGCTCCATGCGGCCATCATACGAATTTTTGGGAGACTGCTTTATGATTGAGGAAGCTTGCGCATCGGCGGTACCTTTGATTTTTCTCCTTTACGGATTTAGAGAGAATGCATTCGGATCTCTAAGCTAATGACGACCTTCTGATACAAGAGATGGCCATGGACTATGCCATAGAGTCGAGATGTATTTCGAGGCCGGCCAGATACTGATTTCGCGTCTGACTTTGCGTTAAATACCGCAGATGAATAAAAAATGGCTCATTCCACGTACATTGGTTTCGATGTGATTCTGTTGTATCACAAGTCGAGTAGAAAAATCGCACAAATCACTGCGGGGGTAGGTATTAAGAGCAGTGACGTTGAGAGGGATACCTTGCTTAACTGCTTTAGCCGATGCGAGCCTTGTGACCCCGACGCCATAGGAACATAGCACCGAGACATCGATTCTCTATGATTATGTTAATCTTTTCCTTAACAAGAGTTCGTAATTGATATAGTAGTTGTTATACGCGGAAAAGAAGCTGCAGCTTTATTGTATGACGATGATACTACACCTGTTTAAGTATACTCTCTTAAGCGAGTGCCATATTGCGGCAAACTTCACTCGAGAATACGAGGCTGTCGCTGGATTGAATTATAACCGAATCGAGGAATGATATTCACCAAGAATTAGGTACATACATAGTGGCTGAGCAGATGCGGGTTAGGAGTTGATCATGAGATGGGAAGGATAGTATCATTGTTTATAGTAAAAGCCATGATTGTCGAACTTGAATGTTGAGGATTCCCATTTAGAATAACTACCTGGTACCGTAAGAGCATACTTGCATAAGAAAACTCGACGTTGTGGATAACTAAGCTAACCTAGGTAGGCTAATGGTAAGTTATTAATGGAAGATGACATCGTAGGCGAACTCTACAGTGTACATAACTATATCAATGCCTACCTCTGCATATCAGGTCAGCTGGCTTCATTACCTTCAATATGTATTATCTAAGATAACCAAAGCCGCTACCCCTTTGAGTTGGGGCAGTCTTGGCCTGCAGCCGAGATCTTTCACCTGTACATACCGAGTTTACGATCAGAAGCTGTAAGTCAACCAACAAGCTTCTGACGCCGGGACGACGGCCCAATTGCTCTTTGTACATACACTACATACATAATTCACCGCTGCACGGGAGCCTTCTAGGTGTTTGCCACATGGTCTTTATGTTAGTTGTATTGTACTGTATATACGATACGTACGCGATGCGGTGGGATTCGACGACGTCAGCTTTGGAGCTCGCGTCGGGATGTACTGCACCTCGTATGAATGAATGGCAACGGGCGAGCACAGCCACCCCGTCTCTGCTCCGACGTTCGAAAAAGCTCGCTGTATGTGTGTACATATGTACAGGCAGACAGGCAGACAGGCATCGGGTCTAAGCTAGGCTGCTGTTGGACAGCGCGCTGCGGGACGTGCTGCGATGCTTTAAATAGCAGCATATGGAACTGCGCTATGCGCTATGCGAAAGTGGGCAACCGGCGCTGTGATGTTGTGATGCTTGCAGGGTTTGTTGCAATTTTTTTTCTTCAGAGTTGCGTTGCGAGGGCGGGTCGAACAACTAAACTCATGGGTACGTAGAAAACTGTGGAAATACGATGGAATAGTTACACTATGTATGTATTCTTAAGACGAGACACTTGTTTATGTAATAGCTTGGGCTAGGCATACATACCTACATACACAATGTGTTGCTCTGGTGATGGCCAAGTCTATGCATTTCTATGCTTTATTTCATTTTGCTAATACATATATACAACATGAACACGAGCATGAACATGATAGATAGATAGATAGGTATGTAATACACGACTGGAATTTGAACATGACAGCAGAGCAACCGATGCGATTTGCCTGTATGTAAAATGAAGCCGAGATCTAATAGTTATGCTAGATCTTCTCGCCACTACCACTACCACGTAGACTTACCTGTCAGGTGAAATTATAAAATCATCAATGCTCGAAAGATTAATGGTTAATATCACTTCACTCAACAAATATGTATGTACATACGATGAATTTGGAACGATATTTTAGTCAATCCTTGATTTTCTTCCCAGCTTTTCCTTCGCTTTCCTCCCCACACGGCGAACAGAGATGGTCAGATCGCCCCTGATCATACCAGAAACTACATACATGGTGACCTGCTAAACTCCCCATGTCTTGGAGACAAACATACGGTATGTATACATATGCGTACCTACACAGCTACAGCACAGCTACAGATACATGATGATAATATACGTACAATACATATGTAGTAAATAAATACACCTCGGTTCCGCTTCTTATATGTATGTACTATTATCGACCGCCTCCGTCTCATACTTCATACTCCTTGTCTTAACATAGGTAGGTATATAGCTACGGAATATCCATCTAGGTTAGCTGATCCAAAACCAGCATTGCAATCAGGATTTCCGTCGAGGCTGTGACATGGAAGTCTTTGGTGATGTATAGGTATACATACATACATACATACACAGTAACCTAGGTTAGGTATGTATGTACATAGCATGAAAAAGAAGGTCGTATTTTAATTGTACTATGTAATTTAGCTGCAAACCCCTGGCTCGGCTTGGATCCGGCCCACCAACCATGGCAGCCAGAGCCATGCTAGTCTTAGATTGGATCGCTTTGAATGGTCATGCATTGTAACGCGCGAGGCCGACACGAAAAATTGGACAGCTCAATGACGAGAAAATGGAGGCGGCTTAGCGCTTCGTGCTGATGGACGAGGCCCTACCATATGTATGTACAATACATACATACCAGCCCTGGTCCAATCCATGACTGCTAGCAGGCTTCCCCAGGGGCGCGCTATGGAGAGAGACCAAGTCTTTGATTCATTTCCCTATTAAATAGTCGATCATCCACTGTCTCCTTTGTTTTGGTTCTCGTTCTTGTCTTGCCCCGTCTGCTCGTCCCATCTTGTGTCTTATATAAGACTTCGTCACTCGCTCGTCCACAAGAGATCCAACTTAGCTCAACGGCTTCGTCTACATTCGCTCTGCTCTCTTCTCCGCACAAATAATCACCTAATAATACCCAATTGTTTTACACGCGAGTTGTACAAATATCCCTTCAAGATGCGTTTCACCGTAGTAGCCGCCGGCCTCCTCGCCGCTGTCGCGAGTGCCCAGTCCGAAACCAACAGCATCACTGAGGTTATCTCGGCTGCCGAGTCCTCTGCCACTGCTGCTGTTTCCGACGCCACGTCCGCCATCCTCTCGGCCGCCTCCTCCATCCTCTCCTCAGCCGAGTCCGCCATCGAGTCGGCTACCAGTGACGCCACTGGCTCAACTGGCTCAACTGGCTCAGTTCCCTCCGCCACCGTCAGCATCGACCCTGCCCAGAGCTCCGCGCAGTCCGCCCTCCTCGACTGTCTCAAGGCCTGTAAGTAGAAACCCTACCCGCGCAGACAAAACGCCCGAGATCGGTAACTAACCAGTACACGAATAGGCTCTGACGACGACGTCAACTGCAAGGCTAAGTGCATTTCTGTGCCCAGCCCCGACACCATAGCCGTCAACCAGACCACCGAGTGTGTAGCCCAGTGCCCCCAGGGCAAAGGCACTGCTGCCGACAACCAGGCCTATGCCGACTGCGTAAGCGGCTGCATTGCCAAGTACTACTACTCTTCGAGTAGCCTCCCCGGCGCCACCACTGGCAGTGGCAGCAGCGGTACCACCAGCGCCACCCCCAAGGTCACTCAGGTTGAGTCCACCGTCACCTCCGCGGGCTCGACCTATGTCACATCATTCTCCACCACCGTCGCGCCAGCCTCAACTGACGCTGCCGACTCGTCTGACTCGCCCGCTTCGTCCTCGACCTCCGCCGGCGGCGCTGACATGCTATTCACCCCCATCGGCTCCGGCATCGGGCTTTTCTCCTTCCTAGCCGCTTTCCTCGCCCTATAAGCGTGTGAATTTACCTGTACCTATAAAGCTGAGATTTAAGAATAAAACGCTACGGATAATAATGGGATGGCCCGAGTATATAATGCTGCCAACGTTGGATGAGAATCTGAATACCAAGGCGAAAGGAGTAGATGCGTCAACGGAAAATCTTTAATATTGGATTTGGCACGTCGATACTAATTGCAGATGTAGTCACGTTATGTAGAACGCGAATATGAACCTGAAGTTGACGACCATTCATCATTTACCTTCCTTACCCCTTCTATGCTCTTAGTTTTTACGTGATAATGTTTTTGCCTGAAGTTGGAATAGTATGTATCCTTTACCGCCTCGAAGTTGGCACTGTTACGGGAACATCGCTTAGCCATGGGATGCCTAGTTGCTTCATTTCTACCGCCAGCTGGAAGAGATAATCGAGACTACGATGACATCTGGGTCAGTTGATCGACGTTTGGGTTTAAATGGAGCGAAACCCACCTTTCACACATGGTCTTTGCCTTGTGGACATTGTCGCCCCAGACGTAGACACCATGTCTCCGTACCAGGACCGCATAGGTGTCCGGGTGTTGATCCATAGCCTCTTCCAAGAACTCGGTGAGATCTTCCTCGTGGGCCGTGTTCTCGATGACGGGGATGCGCAGGGTGTCGTGGTAGCCCAGGTTACCCTGCTGCTGGAAGCCCTTGCCGAAGCCCTTGATCTGCTCGATGTTGTTGATCTCGAACAGCTTGTCCTTGCCGGGGCCCTGAGCCTCAAGGAGCAGGGTGACGAGCACGGCCCAGTGGGAATGGGTGTGGATACAGCAGCCGGCTCCCCGCTTGGTGAAGGCTGCGAGGAACAGCGGTGTGCATTGCGAGGGCCGACCGCACGGCGGAGCTCGCAGGTAGACGCGGTTCTTGAGGTCCGTCTGCTTGGATAGCGCGAGCACGTAGATATCAGTGTTCTTCATAAGCTCCTTCTGGACGCCTGAAGGTGCGATATATACTAAATCACTGGAACATTGAGGTATGAGATAACATGTTTATATTTATTTTGTACTGCCGCAACGGGGGATAGGAACAGGTGAATATGAACGAGGCCATATTGGATTTATATCAAATCAAATCAAATCAAACCGAATCAAATTAAATCAATTCAATTCAATGCAAAGAGAAGAGTGAGGTCTTACTCGTTGCGAATAGAACATCCTCCTCCCGTCCCCGTAACCCAGCCCAAAGTCCAAAACTTGGCGCATAGGGAAGGGATGAGGTTTGCCGGGTGATCAGGATCTTCCGATGTTATGTAATGGTCGTCGCCCATTTTCACTTTTTTTTTTTCCTTCAAGGGGGGAATCCGGTATACCGGAAGGCTGGGTGCGCTATAGGAGATGAATAAGAAATAAGATTAGGCCAGGTTGGCCTCTTGGAGGAAAGGAGTGTGACTATGGAAGTGTGATAAGTTCGGTACTTGAAAAAATGGCGGAGAAAAAAAAAAAAAGAGTACGGTTTACTTATTAGCAAATAAAGTTGGATGAGGCTAAAGTCGAGTATCACGGCACAAATCCTAAATTCTATGTATTCCCCACTTTGCTACACAGGTAGGTATGTAGGGTAGTGTGGTGTAGGTACTATGTACCTACTGTACATGGTGTATGTAGATCACGCAAGCTTGGGGCGTGCGGGCCTAATAGTTGCTGTAGTTGAGTACTACCTACCTAACCTATCAAGTAGTATATCTGTTCACTTGGCTAGATCAACTTCTATCTTACGTAGTATTAATGACTTTATAAACATAGGTACCTATGCTTCTCGGAAGCTAATTAAATAAAAAGGATTAGGTAGCCTTTTGGCACCTCGGCTTTATAAGAAAACAATAATTATTACGGATTACAGATGTAGGTATGTAACATTAAGTCTCATTAAGTCCCATTCACCTAGTAGGTTTGCCGGGCTTAATGCTATGTTATCTCTGTAATAGTGAATAAAGTATGGTAGACTTCAGCACAAACCTGATAATATACATACCTAAGTAATGGTCCTACGTCGCACCATTACATAGTAAGTGATATCTTGTTGACGGATTTCGCTGCTGTTCCCATTATAAACAGACTAGCAGTCTTATCAATTGTAGTGCGCTTAGGGTTTCACTTTTTGACTTGTACGAATGGTGTTATCTTTGTAGGTAGTAGTACTTCACTGTAGTACTTCACTGTAGTACTTCATCATACTTCACTATCGTACCTAAGCGATAGTGCAGGGGAGCTATGATCACAGGAGGTGTTTCCCAAAGATTCCATAAGCACCCCCCGCAATCTCATGTACTAAAGTATATTTTCGATCCCGAGAGTCTAGCCAATCAGAGCGCGGAACGAGACAACCGAAAAGGTACGTACTGTCTTTAGGCCACGTTTGCATGGAAGGTCCGCCGCCAATAATTAATAAAAAGTTCACGAAGAAGCTTCTCCAATTGCTTCTTCCTGAGTCCATCTTTTCTTCCTTCGTTGAGCTCTGGGAGTTCTTTCTCAACGTCACTCTCAATCTATCTCCATCTCTGTGCTAGACAGAATAGACAGAAGAGATCCAGAGAGACAAGCAAAGTAAAGCAACCTAGCAACCTAGCATTGCTAGCTTTTCATCATGAAGTTAAACTCTGCTATCGCCGCCGCCTTGCTGGCTACCGGTACTTATGCCGACGATGCCTCCAAGGTTGAAAATACCGAGTCGTCAACCTCTGTTGGCGTCGAAGTACCAACCTTTACTGTGGGTTACCTCCTATAAATAATTGTTACCTCTTCCGCTCAATTGGCAGCTTCGATATTCTTCCTGTGCAGCTTAGCTAACACTTTTGACTTGTAGCCTACCACCATCAAAGCTCCCTTCCTAGAGCAGTTCACTGATGACTGGGAGTCGCGGTGGAAGCCTTCCCACGCCAAGAAGGAGACCAAGGGTCAGGAAGAGGAATGGGCCTACGTCGGCGAGTGGGCAGTCGAGGAGCCTTACAAGTTTAAGGGCGTCGAGGGTGATAAGGGTCTTGTTGTCAAGAACGTCGCCGCTCACCACGCCATCTCCGCCAAGTTCCCTAAGAAGATTGACCCCAAGGGCAAGGAATTGGTTGTCCAATATGAGGTCAAGCTCCAGAGTAAGTTAATCTATCCCGACGAACTTTATAAGTATCAACTTTCTAACTTTGTGGCTTCCAGAGGGTCTTGAATGCGGCGGTGCCTACCTGAAACTTCTCCGAGACACCAAGTCTCTCCACCAGGACGAGTTCAGCAACACCACGCCGTACGTCATCATGTTCGGTCCTGACAAGTGCGGTGCCACCAACAAGGTCCACTTCATCTTCAACCACAAGAACCCTAAGACTGGCGAGTACGAGGAGAAGCACATGTCTGCTGCCCCTCCCGCTACTATCCAGAAGACTACCGAGCTCTACACTCTAGTCGTCCGCCCCAACAACACCTTCACTGTTAAGCGGGGTGGTGACATTGTCCGAGACGGTAGTCTCTTTGACCAGTTCTCCCCTGCCGTCAACCCCGAGAAGGAGATTAACGATCCCAATGACTCGAAGCCCGAAGACTGGGTTGATGAGGCCCGTATTCCCGACCCTGATGCCAAGAAGCCTGAGGACTGGGACGAGGATGCGCCATTCGAGATCGTCGACGAGGAGGCTACCAAGCCTGAAGACTGGCTTGAGGATGAGCCCTTGACCGTTCCTGACCCCGAGGCCCAGAAGCCTGAGGACTGGGATGACGAGGAGGATGGTGACTGGATCCCCCCCACTGTTCCTAACCCCAAGTGCGCCGACGCCGCTGGATGTGGCCCCTGGACCCAGCCCTTGAAGAAGAACCCTAACTACAAGGGCAAGTGGACTGCGCCATACATCGACAACCCTGCCTACAAGGGCGTCTGGGCTCCTCGCAAGATCAAGAACCCCGACTACTTCGAGGACAAGAACCCCGCCAACTTTGAACCTATTGGCGCTGTAAGTGATACCAAAGTTGTTTGTTATATGGAATACACTGCTAACCCATTGTCGTCGTAGGTTGGTTTCGAACTCTGGACCATGCAAAACGATATCCTCTTTGACAACATCTACATTGGTCACTCTGAGGCCGATGCCGACAAGTTCGCTCAGGAGACTTTCTTCAAGAAGGTTGCTGTTGAGAAGGCTCTCGAGGAGGCTGAGAAGCCCAAGGCTAGCGATTCACCCAAGTCTCCCTCCGACCTGAAGTTCTTAGATGACCCCGTCCTTTACATCAAGGAGAAGCTCGACCTATTCACCACTATTGCTGCAAATGACCCTATCCAGGCTATTAAGTTCGTGCCTGAGGTTCCTGGTGCCATTGTTGCTATTCTTGCTCTCGTTGGTACCCTTGTCAGCCTCCTCTTCCTTGGAGGTAGCGCACCGGAGCCTGTTAAGAAGGCTGCCGCAGACGCTAAGGAGAAGGCCAAGGATGCTAAGGACAAGACGGCCGAAGCTGTTGCGACAGGTGCTGAGAACGTTAAGGCTGAGGTCAACAAGCGTACCACACGACAACAGTCGTAGGGGGCGATTATTATGAAAAGATGAAGGGGCAATGTGGAGAGAAAAAAAAAACAGGCGACCCGTTGTAACGTAGCAAGGACAGTTAAGGGGATATGGTGCGATAATAAGGGCACGCCTTTGGGACTTCAACTTTACTTTGCATGGCGCCGGTGTATTTTACCTACCCTACCCAATGAACTAAGTTAACTGAAATTTTGTTTTGATGTAATCTATCTAACTGCATGTTGTATCATGTCATACTAGGCGTTGTTGGAGGTTGTCACAATGCATTCAATAAGAGTTGTAAATTTTGCCATTTTTTTTGTATTCTTCTTATTTTCTAACAAGCAATATAACCCAAGATCAAAACGCGAGTAGGGGAGTAGTTAATGTGATGTTTCCCAGCAGAGATTGAAAAGCTATCATCAAGTGATAAAAGCCATAAAAGACAAAGCCTTTATCAAGAGATAAAGCAAAAGGGGGCTAAAAGGAAAAGTATAACACCAACCAAGGAAACGTCCTACCAAACTCCAGGGTCCTGGTCTTGCTTGTATGAGCACCTAAGGTAACCTTGTTACCGTAGTGTTTATCCAACCCTTTGCCGACCAAAATACTTAGTAGCATTGGATAGGTACTTATCCAACACATTAAACCGCGAGCAGTCGTAGAAAACTACCTGATGAGCACGTTTGGCGAAGCTATGTAAAGACAGACAGACAGGCAGGCAGGCAGGCAGGGTTAAATAAGCGTGCTTTCTTCTAGAGGCCGGAAGATATCGCTATAGTCGGATTTATCGCAGACCTCGGCGTCGTCGTCGTTTGGCGTGGGACTTACTTGGTCGACTTCCTCGCGCAGGGCTCGGCGGTACTTCCTGAGGGGAGACGGGGCCGGGCGCGGCTTTTGGAACCAGCGCTCGGGGGGGCTGGGGAGGGCGAATTTGGGCATGGGGTGTTGGGGGGGGAGGGCGTTGGAGAGGATGGCGGCGATGGGGGGCGTGGATAGGTCGACCACGTCGCCCTGGGCCAGGGCCTCGCTCGCGTCGGCGTGGATGGGCACGGCGACGTTGTCGTTCTTCTGGATGCGGGGGATGGTCTTGCCGGTCTTGGGACAGCACGCGGGGTACACGTTGTAGGTGTGGGCGCGCTTGAGGCCCATGGACGCGAGGATCGCGTTTTGGTCCAGGCTGTCCCGGCGGTCGCACCAGAGGAAGTTGGGCCCGACGTCTGGGGCCTTGGCCCGGCACCGCTCGTACTCCTGGCGGAGCTCCTCGTCGGTTATGGCGAACCAGGGCTTCTTGTTCTTGCTGTGGGTAGGAGAGGTGGGAGAGGTGGGAGAGGTGGGAGAAAGGGGCTTGACGGGTGCGGTGTTGGGTCTGCGTGCGTGAAACTCGTCGCGGAGGACACTTGTCATGGAGTTTGCGTGCTCGTCGTCTGCGTCGTAGGCGTCGGGTAGGTTCTCACGGAACTTTCCATGATGCTTGGGGTGTGCGGTCCAGCAGCGTCTCGTTTCCGGTCTGCCGGGGCCGTATTCTAGCTCGGTAGGAGGCAAGCCCCCCCGAGCTTCTTCTTGATGCGCTGCGAGCCTGCTCAGCGATGTCGACGAAAAGGTCCGCTTAATCTTCCTGGCGACGTTGGATGCGCTAAAACGACCCATTTTGCTTTACGGCTTGGCTGATAAATTAATAAGTTGACTCTGATTAAGCGTACACTTCTTTGACTACAGAGTGAGCGAGGTCTTGTGATCGGAGAAGGTGGCTTGCGGGATAATGAATAAATAGCCCCCAAGACTTCTAAACAATGTCATTTATTGTCCGTATAGCCCTCACAGTTCTGGACAATGTCATTATGGATAGACAATGGGAGAGTTATTATATAGGGGGAATGCCCCTGCCAGCGTGCTCTGATGAGAAAACACAGATCTGTTCCTGCTCTACAGCTTTGTCTCGTAATGTCCCTATTCATCTGGTATATTGTATAGTGGACGCCTACTAAGACAACGTAGACAATGGGCTTTGTCGCGACCAAGAAACCCTCTATTATGTCCCTCAACGAGCAGGTTCTCGAAGAACCATTGTGAACAAGCCGTACTTAAAGCCAAACACGGACCAGACAAATCAGTTGACAGATTAATACGAATCGCGATGTGCCAAATCTGGAGTCAGGAGTACTCCGAATGCCACCACGTCTCGAGGAATCTAATCCATTGCCCTACGTACTACAAGCAACAGAGCGAGGCAAACGGGTTCCTCGGGCGTCTTCTCAACGGCAGTGTTAAGAGAAAGAAAGACTGTGGACGTGTCATCCCTCACCATGGAGATCCGGCACCCTTTTGCCCAACTTGCTCGGTTAAGAATGACCAGCTATGGGGTAATCAGGTCGGTGATGGGGCCTTGAGGGTCCGTCACCCGCATATGAAGGATGAGTATCAACATAGCTCCACAGAGCATCGTGAAAGAAGCGAGAATTCGGCCGAAAAGTCCTGTAAAAGATCAGACAGACATGGGCAGCAAGGCGTATGGATACCAGGGCTATATTACGAGCCGGAGAACCTCGCACAGAGAGACCCCTATATCCGCACGGCGGGAAAAGCGCGGCCAGTCAGTCCAGTACAATCACCACCACCACCTAGGCCACCTAGGTCACCCGTTGCCACGCCAAACCCGCCCCATAGACCCGAGCAGAAACGGGATAAGCCAGAAACACGTCCGCCAAGTTCGACCAAAACTCGGGATGAACATAGAAACCAAGCATCCGCCAGCAAGCAACCCACCCAAAATCCCGAAAGGAAGGGGGATACGCCGGTAAAAAGGAACGAGCATAGACCCCGCGCACCCACCAAAGAAACCTCCAGCTCTAACACCCCCTCTCGCCGCTCCAACAAGAAACCAGCCGAGCCGGCCCAACCGAAGCGTGACCGCCAGCGCCGCGAAGCAGACGACGACAGGGACAGGGACAAATATCCCAAAGGTAGGAGACCCTCTAGGAAACCCACCCCCGCGCGTTCCCCTCGGCGTTCCCCCCCAACACCACCCCCCAAAGACCCAGAGCGCAAATGGCCGCCGCCCATCCGGCACCACATAGACCCGGTACCGATACCGATACCGAAGCCGCAGCCGCGGCCGCGGCGCAAACCCGTACCGGTCCACCATCACCACCCTCCTCACCCCATCCCGCCGTCGCTCAAGCCGCCCCCCGCGCCGCTGCCCGAGTACCAAGTCTACCTGAACGCGCAGCGCTTCGCCGACGAGCAGCTCCCGCCGGCCGCCCCGGCCATCGAGAAGAGCACCGAGCCGCCCATGTTCATGTTCCGGCCGCCCCCGCAGCGCAGCAAGGGGTACCACATGATCACCGGGACGGGACGCAGGGTTGGGCCGCTGCGCTTCTCGGATGCGTCGTCCGATGAGAGTTTCGTGTGTCGGGACGCGCGCATGCTGACGCTGAACGCCGCGGCGGCGGGGGCGGCGGGGGGCGCGTCCTGACGAATGAATGTTCGCTGCGCTTGTAAATCCGGCATCGCCGTTGATGTTATTGTTGTTGTTTTTGTTTGTGATAGTGATAGTGATAGTAACGGAGTTAGTAAGTTAGATGCCCCTGGAATGTTTGCTGTTTAGAAAGTGTTTTAGGTACGTATGCGTAAACATCGATATATATCGACACCATTTCTATTCGTTTATATATATTATATAGGGACGGTCGGGCGGTTTTTCTGCAAATTTTAGTTAAACTAATAAAATGAGTTTTAGAGGAACAGAGCTGTGTTGTGGGATACGTAGGTATTATTATTCTATGTGTTTTGGTATTAATGTTGATGCTGCTGACGATGATAATTCTCGTGTAATTTTCTATGTGTCGAAGATGATATGTCGGGAGCGACTGTACGTTGAGAAGGTCCTCCGTGCCTGTGCGGACTTTATATACCTACATCCATTTGCAGGAGTAAAGAGTACTAACTAATTAAAAGGGGTTGGCTGGGGAGTCTTGCCGCTCAAACTCCCATCGCTACCGCAATGTGTCAGTGTTGTTCCTCGATCGGCTTCTACCGTAAGCCGTCGCCCTGTAGTTCGCCGAATACCTCTTCTAGGTAACATCCCAACCTAGGAGTCCTCATCATAGGCGACATCTCATATTGGATGTGCAAAATGGCGGTATTGGACACGCCTGCTGTCCTTCCTTCTCATATAGCCCTCAGAGCTACCACGACCATGAATTTGTGCCTCATGCTGTTTGCTGTCCTCGTGCTCATTGAGCCTTTCCATTCTTCGCCGCACCGGCTTTTCGTTCCTTAAACTTAGCGACTTCCACTTGAACTGCTTTCGAAACGCGGCTTTGTAGTTCCCGCCTGTAGCCGAACTTGAACAGGAACTCGAGCCAGACGAAAAGGGGCGCCAGAAAGATGGCCTGGGTCAGGTTGTCTAATAGCGCAGGCGCTCGGCCTTCAAACGCGCCGTGTCCGAGGAATTGGAGTAGCCAACATACTATGTGTACCGTAAGCGCGACCTGATTCGTTAAGGCCGGGGTTTCGGCGACAGCGGTGTTCGTGACTGCGGCAGCCCCGAGGCAGATGAACGCGAGGATAGTTCCGGCAACGGGCTCGAGAAGGACGTAGAGGCCACCCCACGTAAAGGCTGCTAGGGTGCCGAGATTAAGGTCGAGATGGGGTACCGTCAAGTATGTAGGTAGGGGAATGAGTGTCCCTGTATTTGCAGCCTGTTGCGAACGGCCTGCTTGTTAATAATATCCATATAAGGGGTAGTATAGGTGATGAGTTGGCTCGACGTACCAAGGCGAAGCCAGAGAACAATATCAGAGGCACGCAAATCATGTGGATGGCAATGTTGACCGAGTTACGGTGGTAGGCGCCATACTGCAGAGGCGCGGTTAGTCTCAAGATTGATGTCTATAAGGGGATAGGGGGTAATATCGTATTAAACATTAAACTTACAAAGGTCAGTTGTCTCTCGAGGTTGAGTGTCATGGTGACAGCTAAACGAAGGAAGGGGTGGTGATGGCTTTAGGTAGCTTAGCTTAAGTCGCGTACCTCGGATGGTGGTGTAGGTAGAGAACGGAATAATTCGAGGTCCAAGTCAAATACATATAAAAGAACCCCCCGGGGATGGAAATAATTAATGCTTTTAGCGATCGGTCATAGCGGAAGGTGAGGAGCAGTGGAAGTGGGGCATTATCATTCACGCATTATGTACCTACCTAGGTACCTTATTATGTACATACCTAGGTACATACATATATATTCACGTCCATATATTTGTATAGGTATTTCCTTCAAACGGGAATCGTACGAAGTAAGCATTCCCGTCAGAACTTGTATGCAAGAAGGCTAAGCACATGCAAACACACTTCAATTGCGCTAAGTAACAGTACCTGAGATACCTACCTACCTATGTGGTAGGCTGGCCTGTTAAATTTAGGTAGGTACTGGACAGCTTAGGTATTGTACGGGACAAGGAGACGGGAAGTGACGACGTTGTGCATCTACAATGGCTTCGGTGTCGTTGAACCCGAGGTTTTCCAAGTACCCCTAAAGAATTACATAGGTACAATACAATACAATACCTAGAGCACTTATCAGGTTAAGCATTTAACGGTTTAAGTTAGGTACCTCAATACAATTCGATGAACAGGTACATCGATGATATGTAGCTTAGGTAGATATAAGTGGAGCTCCTTACCGTTTCTCCCCCCAGGTTGCACTAAGGCCAATAAGGTCCAGGGTTGCTTGAAAGTTGAAAGTTGCAAGTTCCTAAACCAGACGCGACTCGTTCCTTTCATCATCCAGACTTTCTTGAGGCTACACCAAATCTTCTTTCAGCCCTGTTGTCGCATTCATTGCCGCATTCATTGTCGCATTCATTGTCGCATTCATCATCGCACCACAAGCGCATAGCTTTACATTGTCTTATTATATTTCTTGATGATTTTATGATACCCTTAGGTAGATTGCCGCTTTTTGAGGCTCGAGGAGGCTCAAGGTTTGCACCGCCTCAGCCTACCTTTTAGCATCCCATCACATCGACTCATCCCGTCTCCCGCGAGTCCTCGTCACTACACCTTCTTGCTTGGCCTTCAATCACCTACCTCTGCCTTGGCCTAGGCCCTGCCAGAGATCCCCGTTTACGTGTCGCGATAGCTCATCGTAGTGGCGTTCCACTTCAGCGACCAATCCCGCGAATAATCTCACCGTAGCAGCAGCGCCATCTCGATATCTCCTCCTACAACCTCTCTCTTACCAACTAGATCATCCAGCGCGAGCACATAGACCATAGACGTGTCACAATGTTCTTCCTCTACAACCTCGAGCGAAGGGTTACCCTTCACCCTTCGTACTTCGGCAAGAACATGCACGAGCTGGTCACGGGCAAGCTTCTTAAGGATGTTGAAGGCACGTGTACCGGAAGCTACTATATCATTTCCATCATGGATACCTTCGATATCTCCGAAGGTCGCATCCTTCCCGGAAGCGGCCTCGCTGAGTTCACCGTCGGCTATCGTGCTGTGGTCTGGCGCCCCTTCAAGGGCGAAACGGTAGGTTCTCTAGGCTGAGCTTTGACACTACGAACCTTTGCTAAGTAAGTAAGATGGACGCCATAGTAGTCTCCGTCAACCAGCACGGCTTCTTCGCCGAGGCAGGACCGCTTCGAATCTTCGTGTCTACCCACGTAAGTAGTCCCCTTGACATCGGCGCGCATGACGTTAGTTGACAGCCCCTGTCAAGTTGATCCCGCAAGAAGTCAGATGGGACCCGAACGCCACACCACCTCAATTTACTAACAACGAGGACACTACGATCGAAGTTAACACCCAGGTTCGTGTTAAGATTGTGGGCACGCGAGCCGAAGTCGGTGAGCTATGGGCAATTGGAAGTATCAAGGAAGACTATCTCGGGTATTTATCACCTCCTTTCGTGTGTCTTGAAGCGTATACTAATGGCCCATAGAACGCTACAAAATTAGATAGATCTGGCGCGTTTGGACTTCATCTGTCCTTGTCCTGTGCTTGGTGCCGCCCTCGTGTGGTAGTAGATGTGTGAATCTACAGGATCGCGCAATCCATAGGATATAGGCCTAGGCTTTGGTACCTTAAGAGCTATTGATATCAACAATAGTAGTACTGCATAGGCATCTTTATGCAAGGTAAAGTCACAGACCCAAGTCTCGCGAATTTCGGATATGCTAGGCGACTTAGGTAGTCACCTAAATGGCATCTGACGTTCAGCTTTTGCTATGACATACGATAAGCTTATCCCACGAGGCCGTAGCGTATAGCGTCTAACCTACGCCTCAAAGTAAAAACATTCTGCTGGGAAAGACTAAGCAAAGCCTCAAACCCTATTAATATATAATCCCGGGAACATGACTATATCTACCATAAACACCAGATACAACTGTTGGACGTTTTGGTTGGAAGCAATCTGCTAGCCCATTGGCCTTAGATTATGATCGATATAATAAATGGTCATCGTCTCAAAATATATCCTCTTAAATTGGCATATTATACTACCTTTATTTCGACTAGTTTCGGTGCTGGTATATGAAGACTGATTAGAAAGGAGAAAATGATTCATACAGTGTTAATTTTTAGGTACTCGGGTATTATTCGTAATTCCAAAATCTAATTGTAAGACCTTTTCGTAGTAACTTAATTAATGGCGTTGAGCGTAGTTATATGCCCGTTGGGGGGGAGGATAGACTGTTTGTTTGCTTAATCTAGATAGATGCCTTTCCTTTCTATCATTTTAGACTTGGTAAGAGCCAACAAGTAGTACGGAAAATATAACACCAGCGTTGAATGAATGGCTCCGTCAAGAACAAAACTTTGCGAAAAGTTTGACAGTGCTATGGGCTAGAAGTCGTAGACGACGAGTGGGCGTATCCCGTATAGTGATGGAAATGCCCGCCCCCCTATATCTCTCTATAGGCGACTGGTCTCGCGAAGAAGGAAAAAGAAGGCTATAAGCTCTCGTATATGGTTTTCTGCCTCTTCTTATTCTCTCGCTATCCTTACGGCACCGTGACAGAACTCTAATAAGTGCCTTTGCGTCTGTCATCTCATTTCGAGATGATTACGTCGATGCCACTACTTACTCCTATTCGAAGGTTACGTATTATATTTACACAACATAGGGATAGCCCAAGCGACAAAATAGGCATATAGGTTGAACTCAATTTACAAAACAATCTATACCCTGCTGTGCAGTTGTCAACAATTCGTTCCTACTCTTCCTCTTCCCCCTTTTCTCTCTCTCTCTCTCTCTCTCGTTCGTTACCCAGAACAATCGTCGCGCAGAATAGCTCGGTATATCGAAACCATTACTTTGTAACAGCTCGTGTTCTACTCGAAGTACCTGTTCGAAATTGTCTATAACATCTCGCATTGCTGCGATTCACTTACATCACTTCACCCCTTTATATTACCCTGAACTACCGCTGTATCTAACGGCTATATCGAATCTTTCGTCATGGATCCACTATCAATTCTCTCTAGACGTGTCCGCCTCGGATGGGGTTCAGGCCCGTTGCCGTTCGAGAACGTTTACAACCGCGGACGTCGTGTAGTCATTTCCGTCCCTGCCGCTAGGTACACGGCCAGAAGGTTCCTCCGCGTGCAGAGCCCCTATGTGATACGCCCTCCAAGCCAGCATCTGGTGCTGTATCTCATGACCCAAGAAGGCGTGGATTTGTTCCCCGAACGGTGGGACTCCGCCGTTGGTACCATTCGAAGCATGTCTGAACTGGATCCCGATAGAATGGAAGGCTTAGAATTCCACGGACTCACGAACAAATTGGCAATTGATGACAAATTTGACGCCGATGGCGACATTATCATGACCGATTCCGCCCCTATTTCTATCACTTCCATGGACGACGACCCTATGGACATCGACACACCTAGTGATGATGACCCTATGGACATCGTCCCATTTAGGCATATTGATACGCCTCCCACCCTTCCTCCTTGGGCTAATAGCCCCAAATTGATGGTCCCGAACATCAACTCCATCGCTGTCGCCACGGCCAGCCGTCCTTTCCCCCCAATGGACATTGCAATGCCTGGTGATCACCCACTTGAGAGAATAACCGAATACAACACACCGATCAAAGCACCCCAACTAAAGCAACTTGTATTCGGCTTAGAGCAACTCTCGCTCGTGGGTCTCCACACGAAACGCAAACTCGAAAACGACACAGACTCCCCCGAGGAGGATGCACAGCAACCACAACGCAAGATCAAGAAAGTGACAAGGAGACCGTCGCTCGAGTGCAAGAAATTCTTGTCGGTCCCCAAGGCTAACGGCCGAGTACCGCGGCCCCGGAGACTGCGGTACAGCCGGGCGGCCGTCTCTAGTACACCATCGCTTGAGCCCATGCCACTTATTAAGGTTACGGATCCCGACGGCAATGTTACATATCCGTTTGACTCTGAGGAAGAATAGAGGCTTTCATCTTCGATTTATCGGCTTGGCGGGATATCTTAGAGGGCATCAAGGCGCAATGTTGTTGATTTGGATATAATGATTAGGGCTCGCAAGCCCGGATATGTTGACAGGATCACGATGGTTGGAAAGATGGATGCATTTGTTAGAACTGGAAAATGGTGGAGCTTACATGGAATACATTATAAGCCCCGGGGCTTCACTGGATTGTATCGGTTGCTTGGTTGGAGTCTGGGAGTCTTTGGTGGAATATATTTTAAGCCTCGGGGCTTCACTGGGCTTTGTGCCCCTATTGGGAAGATATTGGTATACGAGAAAAGGATATTTGGAAACATTGGACTGGATTTCTATTGGATTGACGGTTTATTGGAAGGAATTCTAAGCCTCGAGGCTTTATTGTGCTATCTGGTCGGCATGTGACCATTTCTGGGAGGGTTGGCCAGGGTGATTTGAAGGAATTTTGGTTTGATGGAATAGATCTTGAGCCTCGAGGCCGAAGAAGATCATATGGGTTTCTATCAGGAGGGCATCAGCGGTTTGGATTTCAACAAGCATAAGGGGAGTTTGACGAGAACTTCAAAAGTCTCTCGGGGGATAAATTATAAGCATCAAGGCTTTAGCGGATCATCAGCTTTCGATTGCGAATATATCGGTGCTTTGAAATTAATATCAGGGAATTGACGGGCGCTTCTTGTGTGTTGTTCTATTGTGTGCCATAAGTGAAGTCGTAATGTTCGATCCTGCAGGTTTTATGTCCCCTATATTATTGTCGAACTTCCATCGCACCAGGATCTATAACTCCCTGACCATAGTAGAAGATATTCCAATTTATGAGTATCAGGTAACGAAGAAAATATTAGCATCACCTATTAGCAGCTGCCAGTCTGGCGACTTGCTCAAGCTATAAGTTAAATAAGACATGCTTTACTCGAAAATAGGAAAGTGGAATATATTCATATTTTTGAACCTAGGTTAAGTACCTAGTAGCAACTGGAAGCACGCTAAAAGTCATGTATGTTGGTTGGTTACCTTAGGCACCTAGGCATATCTAACGCTGAGGGAAGGAAGAAGGGGTAGTGGCTAGCCGTCGCAGGCTCCTCCTCTACTAGGTAGTGTACTAGGTAGTGCTGGGGGGGGAGGGGGGTGTGACACGCAGAGCTACACCCGACTTACCCCTATCCGATGAATGGAAGGAGCACACTACATACGGCAACTGCTGCAGATTGTATTTAATGCAGATTTAACTCAGTGGCACCTTGCGTTTCCGGTATCGACTAAATTAATCTACCAACCAACATAGTGACATAGATTGCTTTCCCATGCCATCGACATACAAGACCAGCCCACACATGAACAAAATATAAGCGCTACATAATGGAGAGTGTTTCCTTAAATATTAAATAGGAGAGTACCTATAAACGAGAACATAAACGAGAACGGTTAGGATATCATCACGAGAAATATTTGGGCACCTATCTGCTTCGAATCCTGGGTGTGGTGAATGTGATGAGTGTGGTGAGTGTGGTGAGTGCCGGATGACAGGTCAAATCTCGTATACATGCTCCTTCACCGATAATGGCATCCTAACCATCCCTATTACCGTCTCTAGGTGAGCCCATATACGGCTCACCTAATATTCAATCTTTATTTCAATACTATACTGTTCTAGATCAGGACTTGATAGTTCAAATAGACCATCTGGGCTGTGACCACCACGACTAGCCAGAGTACCGCCTAGAGATCCAACGACCCTTAATGGTAGTAATTCTAAACGCACCACTTTCTCAATAGTGCTTCGAATTCAGTTCTCTTTTCCCGATCATGGATATCAACATTTACCTCCTAGGCTCTACTGCTTTCAGCCTCGGGAGCCGGATAGGAGGTATCTACCGAAGCTCACTCTTAGACTCACGAGAACGTCTCCAACATCCTTGTCACTATCTTGCTAATGAAGTTGGAGGTGTGCTTGGTTATGGAGAACGGCGAGAGCCAGGATCTCGATGCAAACGCCGCCGGCAGGAGAAACAGGGAACGTTCTCACGTCCCAATCAAATACAGACACATTTTGAATAGCACCACCAGAGAGTAGCACCACCAGAGTTATCACACCGAAGACATCCATCACCTCGCAATAAGCTATACTACATAGCCCGAACTTACGGTAGGATCGCTCCTGTGCCATGATTAATCAGGGTGGGTCTTTTGATGCTATACTGTGCTATTCCGTCGACTCGTTTTTCAGGAGGGTAAGGCCTGTCACAGGTACCCTTCAGTCGGAGCAGAGTCAGACCGCTACGCCCTCAGCCGAAAGACGGAACGGAGCAAATACACACACCTGCTTTAGACAACCCTCACATGTTCTCTTCATTGCTCCCGACAAGACACTAATGCAGCACGCATGCATACCGAAATGAGGTTAACTATGCGTTGGATTATTGATGTCACTATCAGCTGGTCTATACGACTCTTGCTTGTTGGCAGTCAGAGTTGCAATGGGAAGAACTAAGAGATCAAGCTAAGAGGCTGCTTTCCTCTCGTATAAAGAGACAGTATAGCCCGATATGTTGGCGTGATGTTTCCCCATAATTACTATACCAGAACATCGGGACGAGTATAAGATCTAGCCCGGAAAAGCCTTGAAATGCTAAGCAGAAAAGCGGCCCGCACCGCCCGAGGCCGTGACTCGGCACGAAGTACTCGTACGGATCGATCTATTAGAGCCTCATATGAAATGCTTTTCCTCGCAAAGATCCAGTTCATCAGAGGTCGAACCAAGCAACAGGTGATAGTGGTGCTTAACCCCATTGTGACACAGCATCTCCCAGAACCAAAACCGATGGATTGGGTAGAATGACCCGAGCTGCTCAAAAAAAGGGGGGCTTATGACGAATCCACTTCGCATTTACCCAACCCTGTGATGAAGAGGGTCTTGTATTATACCCCATAACGATGGGAGATTCGAATCCTACCGTACAGTAACACGTCTACTGGGTTGTATTTTCGCAGAAGCTACTGAACCCGCCAGAACGGAACCCCATGTACTCAAAACAAGGGCTGACCAATGGGACCGCACAGCTAATAGTCGTTAACGAATCAGCTTTCATTCCGTGCTCGGCTACGTATGCAACCATCTGCTGGCAGGGGCTCCATCGGCTAATCCTACGGAGTATACTAAAATCCTAGATTTGCGGCCCGCGCGCCATTCCCAAAGCCGACCTCCCGTTCCCCATCCCCCATAGTCTGGCCAGGTTGTGCTTGTTGTGCTTGTTGGGCTATGTTGTGATAGCGGCTCTGCTCCCCAGAGGGCCCATACCAGCGGCGTTCTTCATCAGGGTCTTCCGCGTAACCCAGCATCCGATCTGCAACGTTTTCCGGGCTGAGCTCACTTCATGAAAAGTTTGATCTAACCCCCTAGTATATTCTTGCATATCCGCCCAGACTTTTTACTTCGCCAAAGCCTATCCGAGTCACCATAACCCCATGATGAGAGCTTATGAAGAACCCCGCACGGGATTTGCTCATCTCGTTGTCTGCTCCAATGTCACGGTATATGGCTGAGACAGGTGGATACTTCTATACGGCTCTTAACCATACCACTACTGAGCATTCGTGCATACTGCATAGGTAGGTATCCATGTCGTGATACTGCTTTTCGACAGAGCCGCCAACATGTAGTATCGATCGGATTAGATCATGGTAACAGCGCGGTCACAACCCAACTGCTAACGCAAAGCTACGGGGTAGCCGTGTTAGGATCGCCGAATGTATACTTTTCTGGGTAGTTAATGAGGCGTCTGCAGAAGGTGTTTAAGCGCTGTGAAAAAAGAAAATACCCCTGTTACTCGCATGATATAGTGTCAGTACTGGATATGGCCTATACCTTGTTCTTTTTACCAGTACTTTCTCAGCAGACCATGAAGTAATTCTTGGGGGGTGTTGCCAGCTCAGCGCCAGGGTATCTCTTAGTCTAGACCAAGAACTGCTCGAACCAACGAGAAATAAACTCCTACGTATGAGGGCTTTTCATATCAGCCCTCAAACTTGGCGCTGCGTAAACCTATCAGCTGAACTCGACCCAGGAAAAATAGAAGGCATCGTTACCGCGTAGACGGAACCCAATCAGCAGCTAAGAGTGATAACATAGGCTCCCCTATAGTAACGTGGGGTCTTACCATCAGTCTCCAGCGGCAAGGCCATAACCGTGCATCATATATCTTCTCTCGATATAACTAAGCTACATGAGGAAGCCGGTTACAGTGCATAAGCATGTAGATTACGGAACATGATTCACTTCACCTGACTGTTTCGCGGGCAGGCCTTCAGGGATCATACAGGAAGCCTCTTCCAGAGAACTGGGGACAGTAATGACAACTAACAGTAACATTGGGCGGCTATGGCACAAAAGAGCAACAAGCCTGATAATGATACGTAGGAGTAGGTCGAAGAGACATCGATGACGCTCTTTAAGTGAGGCAATTAAATGCATATGCTTTCCTCGCCAAACCCCCTTAAACCGGTAAAGCAATGCCGGAGTTGGAGTATCCAAGTTGAATCATGGCCAGTCGGTATGGTCCTAGTCATAGTGGATGCATGCTTAAGGTAACATGAGGAAAATCCCACGGCCGTGGATAGCTACGACAATCCAACCCGATGAAGAATCATGTTATTTTAACATTAATAAGGAGGAGGCTAGTTAGCAGTGCTCCTAAGCTAGGCTTAAAATATGCCCAGCTAGTAACGCCATAGTTTAGTCAGTCGGGATGAGGCTCAAGATCAAAAACGGTAAGCTTTACGACCTCTACGAGTCTACGAGGACGATTTCAACCGGCGGCAGCATGCCACTTAGTTCATCTGCATTATTCCCCCCCACCCCCGATCCAAAGAATGGCATTAACACCCATGACACCCATGACATCCATGACACCCATGTCTAGCCAAACTACCCGAGATTCCGGTGATGAGCATGGCCCTCTCCCTCTTGGACGGATTGTCGTTGCATGTGTTATCTACTACCGCATATATACAACCTGGGGTATATGTATAGGTCTACGTAGTGTATATTATACGAAGCCGAAAGATGCCGCTTGACAGATACGCCAAATATAGATACGCCAAATATAAATAGGCCTTTACTAATACTATTCCCGCTAACTATAACCATATATCATAATAGTCTTGGTACCCACTAAGAAGCAACATCAACTATCGTGTTATTGATGGGTACCATGAGGGTTCTATGCATTATAGAGTTATGGGTTTAAAGTTGACAAATAGGGGTCGCATCGCGAACCCAGTCCTCTGGGCCGGGTCAAAGATACGGAGTAAACTGCTCTGTTAGAGTCTGAATCCATCCTCTCTTAGATTGCCGCTGGGGACAATCGCGATCTATACAGCTAGCGGATTCCAGGATATGTAACCCATTCGCCGACTATAATGCGGACGCTGGCGTTAGTCGCAGACCCGACCCAGAGGAACCCGACCCAGAGGAACGGGGTGGTAACATGGTGTTGTATCAAGGAAGCTGACGACAGCGATTGATCCTGATAGTCTATAATGTTGATACTCTAGAACTGATCTGTACTGCTATATAAGGATGGCGCTTCCAATGTCTCGAATCTATATTCGTTGAGATATTTCTAGTGTATATTTAAGTCGTAAAAGCACACAACAATTCAAATTATATACGAATATCTATTTCCCACATCGTCAATTAGATTTAGATCGAAGTCTAGCACCCTCCGACAAAGAATGCCTTCTTGTATTCGTCTCGGGCCCCGAGTCCTCCTTCGTGGTAAAGAAGGTTTGAGTGTATTACAGACTTCATCCTACTTAACAAGAAAAATGCCTGCCGTCTATTCTCGACGTTCATTCTCTTCAGACATCACCCGTGAACTTCCCCTACCACCTGTATCACAAGTAGCTACCCTCTCCGAGCCGGAAGACGAGTTCTGGCGCGTCATTCCATTGTGGAAGGATGTGTCTAGGGAAGATTTTCTGTCTTGGAAATGGGGCGTCAAAGTAGGCTCGACATCCTTTTCCCTCCCCCCTTTTTTTATACGCTCGCTAAACGCTTCAGAATGTCGTCGAGGCCAAGCTAGGGCGCGATCGCAAGCTGTTAGCCGATAATATGCTAAACTTTCTTGACAATGTCCTTCCAGCCGATATGCCTCGTCACCACCGTATAGGGGGTATGCAGAGTCGAGACGAGCTTATGGGGGATGTTGTCAGTGGAATGAGGGAGTCTACCATGTCTGTTCGGGTGATGTGAGTGCCCCTAATAACTAAATAAGAAAGACGCAAACACAAAAGGGGTTGCCGGCTAGTAGGACTATTTCAGCTCTAACTTGGAACAGGCCGTACGTGTTAAGCAGAATAAACTGGAAAGATCCGGCGAACGATCCAGTATTCCAGCAGTTTATCCCCTTGGGGTCTATAATGATGAAAGACCATCCCGCACTAAAGCTCGACTCCTTACACGAGCAGAAAGACTCGCCAGTCCCGGCCCTCGTACATCGCTATCCCGACAAAGCGCTACTGCTCCGTGAGATTCTACCCAGACATCCATCCTAGCCGCCGCTAACAGCCCCAGCAACCTCGGTCTGCCCAACCTACTGTCTCTACTGCACCAGATCCTACGGCATCGGCGCCGACACCGAACTGGTAACCAAGGAGTCCTTCCGCACGACACGCGACAGGCTCACCAAAGCCTTCGACTACATCGAGAGCCAAGACGGGCTCCACGACATCGTCGTCTCGGGCGGCGACGCCTTCTACCTGGCGCCGCACATCCTCGAGTGGATCGGCGACCGGCTGATCGGCATGAGGAACATCGAGCGGTTCCGCGTGGCGTCCAAGGGCCTGGCCGTGTCGCCGCACAGGTTCCTCGACGAGCACGACCCGTGGACCGAGGCGCTGATCCGCGTCTCCGACAAGGCGCGCCAGGCCGGCAAGCACATGGCGCTGCATACGCATTTCAACCATCCGAACGAGATCTCGTGGGTCACGGAGCGGGCTAGCTTGAGGTTGATGCGGAAGGGCGTGACGGTGAGGAATCAGACGGTGCTGCTTAGGGGGATTAACGATAGCGTGGAGGTGATGGGGACGCTGATCAGGAGGCTGGCAAGGATGGGTGTTCAGCCGGTGAGACGTTCTGCTTTCCTTTCCTTTCCTTTCCCTTCCCTTCCCTCCCCTCCCCCCTTTTTTTCCCCTTCCCCCCTTTCCCTAATACGGCCCAACAGTACTACGTCTACCAATGCGACATGGTGAAGAAGATCGAGCACCTGCGCACGCCGCTGCAGACGATCCTGGACGTGGAGTCGGCGATCCAGGGCACGGTGGCCGGGTTCTACATCCCGCGGTTCGTCGTCGACCTGCCCGAGGGCGGGGGCAAGAGGCCCGCGGCGCTGCGCGAGTCGTACGACCGCGCGACGGGGGTGTCGACGTTTACGCAGCCGTCGCTGACGCGGGGGGGCAAGGGCGGCAAGGTTTATAGGTATTACGATCCGTTGGATACGCTGGTGAGTACCTAAAGGAGGTTGGGTTAATATATGTAAGGGATTGGTATTGGTATTGGTATTGGTATTGGGGTGGTGTGGTGCGGTGCGGTGGTAGATTGCTTCTTGGATATATTGAGGATGTGGAGTGTGTTATAGCTGGGTGTTTGATGCTAAGGCAGAATGGCGACAACACCGGTATATATATATATATATAGGTATCTACATAGTTCTAAATCATGAGCTTTTTCTAATCCTATATATTGGGGTTGGATGGCATGATATGATATGCTAGTGCTTTGTAGGCGACTAGCTGTCTATGTAAGTAGGTAGTGTAAGAAATTGGTTCCGTAGGTGCCGCAATTCGAGCCACTTGTTATATATACCTACTATAGCATGATGCGTCTTCTGTAGTTAGTTGATCGTGGCAATATCACTGTCTAGCTAGGACTCAAGGAACGAGCGATCTCTTGAACGATTTCTGGGGAGAGCTCACTTGTGGTTGGTATTGGTAATGCGTACCTGAGTGCCTACTAAGGAAGTACACAGTAATTTGTGATAGTCTTGCTGAAGACGTGACATCTATCATTGTTTCACGGCATCATATTATAATACGATGTATGCTTTTGGTTGTGAATGTGTAGAAATATACCCGGGTCACACTCTAAGCAAGTGGCAGATTGGGTGACACCCCCTTTTTACCTGCATATTCTATCAACCGCCATCTACCATAGATATTACATACTTGGGCTTTATACTAGCTAGCGACCTGTCACTCTGTGGACATATATTATAGCCAAAGTTAATTGTTGTATTATTGTTATCGTTGAGCTTCCCTTTATATATCATCACTGAAATAGCACCGACCCCCCTTTCCCATGCCACACTCAAATTTATTTAAGGTCGGCGAGGCTGCGAGGCTGCGAGGCCGAATACTGATGCATAACCTCTAGGTAGTGCTACCTCATAGACGATACAAGAACTCTAGATTCAAAGCGGCTGCCAATGGTTATCCATCGGAAAGAAAGGAGTGTATACACCTAGACGCGATAATTTCAACTTACAAGGTGGTTACGCACCCGCGGCCGACTCTACCAAAGCTAACATGCTAAATCACAGAGAGCAGGTCTATATTATATTGGTTGCAAAGTCCTAAGAAAGCCTGTAGTTTTAGATTATTACAATCCAGGAATATCGTCGTTTAGGGGTCAGCATAGGACATGTATTATACTCTAGGGCAACTACCTTGTCAAACAAGACCGGGAAGTCAGGGTTTTCGTGTTGGTTTTCAGGCTAGGAGTGTCTTTATTGCTTCGGTCAATTATTTTTTAGATGCTGGCCAACTTCGCAGACAATCCGGCTCGTGCTGTCTCCGGAATGTGCCAGCACGGAACGCATGGACACTTTACCTTCCAAGTAGTTCCAAGTAGTTCCAAGTAGTTGAAGTATTATCATCTCTTTATTTAGTATAATAGTCAAGCATTATCCTTATACATACTACACTTCAGGTAATAAGTCTATCGTGTTAGCTTTCAAGCTCATCCCGGATTTCTCAGTCATGTGTATTCTTGCTATGCATGTCTATGATATATATCAGGATGCTGTGGTCAATGCGTAGCTTAAAGAGGAAGAAGATGTGCATTTCGGACGCGTGCAATAGCCTCGCAGTAGCGCATATATAGTCATATATAGTCACGCATGCAATAGCTTGAGCTCCAAGTGATCGCGAGAGTCGATCCCGTCAAAGCTCACTACCGATAGTCTTCCCCTCGCGGATAATGATGCGATGCCCGCATGCTGCCATGTGCCCTTACATATGCACAACACGCTTCTATGGGTTTAGTTTCTGATCGAAGCCACCATGCATAGCCACCATGATCTGAGACTAAGAGCGTCTAACCTAGCATATGATAAGTTCATCTTAGTTACTTCCCAAAAGAATACGACCCTAGTCGTTTCTCAGAGCCAGAGCGCTCTTTAAAAGCTACCTAGCCAGTCGAAGGCTGAAAGGATCATTCGGCAACTCGGCTGCCGTAGAGTAGTACAGTCTGTACAGTCTGTACGGACAGAGCAACGTCTCATCGTTTCCAGGAGTCCGGCTAGGCTTAGCAGGTTTAAGGTCGACGGGAAACGAAACTATGTCGAATGTAAAACCACGTCGAATGTATTATCACAGGGTCTTGCGCTCGGGGTCCGTGTGTCCGTGTGTGATTCAGAAACGTGCAGTATTGACCGCAATACCAACAACTGACAAGGCTTAACAGAACCAACTTAGAATGAGTACATATGTAGTCGACTATGTATATGAATTGCGGTATGATGCCCGCAAGATAGCTTGGCTAGCATGATGATTAACCTTGGTATATATTAGAATAATTTAGTTTCTTCTGTAATAGTATAAAGAGGGCATTTGCGTGTAGATAACCGCCGTAGCATCGGTGACGGTGATGCGGATGAAACAGGCACGTACATATGTGGGTTGGTTGCGCTGCGGCAAATTTACACATCCTGACATCATTCCCTTAATATCGTAACAGCTAATACCGTAACAGTTAATAAATATATCGTAACATGTACATACCTACCTAGGTAGGTACCAAGTTGAGTGAGTACTGATTGAAGCTGCGCGTGGTATCACCGCAATATTAACGTTGTGCCTACCTCCTACCCATACTCGGCACTTAAAGAGGGATGTTGTACAAATGTAGAGTTTCTAATAAATTGAATGAATGCCGTTGATGGTTGATGGTGGAATGCACGTACATAGGTATTGTACCTAGGTACCTAGGTATGTAGCTTAGGCTGGCGTAAGAGGCGTAGGTACAAGCTGCAGGCCCGGAAGCACAGGCCCAGGGGCACACGAGTCAGAAGATCCGAGCTCCCTGTGACTGGATGACAAGGTGTTGTATGATTGGTGCTGATGGAAGTAGTAAACCACGTTTCGATAGGTGGAACCCCACGAATTGTTCTTCGCTCTCCAGTTTATTTCCTCATGGGGAGAGATGTCGTTCCTGGCGTAACCTGTTATGGACTAGACCCTCATACCCATCAAGCCTTCCCGCCAATAATAATTCTTAGTACATAGCTACATGTACCCCTAGGAAAGACCAAAAGTACCTCACCTAACTTTGGCAAGGGCTGGCGAGGGCAAAAAAACGGTCAATACCTATCCCAGTCAAGGTTTTCTACCTAGGTACCTGTCAAAGTTACGGCTGGGGTCCTGAAATTCCCACCCAGCATTTGGGAACCGCACTGTTAGGCACGTATTCAGGCACTTATTCAAGAAGCTTGATCCCGTGTGATACTGCTACCCATTCTACCCATTTGACGTAGTGCCTGTTTTTTCTCTTCTTCTGGTTTACCGGGCAAATGCGCACTGGATTCAACACTGGGTTCAATTTTATCACCTGGTATCTACGCAATTCGTATTATTCATTAACTACCTACCTACATTATATTCAACTCCTTTCTCTAGTTAAACCTAGTCTTCTTTTCCTGCTGCTTCCATCAAAGATTGTATTTTTGAGGAGCAATTATGCCTTCGTGCCTCTAAATCTAAAATCTAAATCACTCTCCCGACTCATTTTAAACCTTGGATAATGGTTTCTGGCGTCCGAACCACCAATTAATCCGGCCCTACTACATTAACAATGCGGCGGCATTGCGCAAATAGCAAACTCGCAGGCGAAGGGAGCTATCCAGACACTCAAGCGGCCCGCCCCAATACTATTGTTGACTTACGTAGTACGGTGGATTATCACAACAGCCTTCTCGATCAGGCCCGACAGCAGCACGAACTGGCGCAACCTCCGAAGGCGCATTATAACCGAGGCCACGCAGGCCCAAATCATCATTCGCTTAGTTCGCTCCGACAATGGCTAGGCACGACGGTCAACTGCAATAGTACGGCTAGGAAGAAGACTAATAAAAATGAGAGGGATCAGCTTAATTACGATATGACGCTACCGCCGCATCCACATCTCACGCGAAAGGAAATTGAGGAATTCGAGGCTCTTCCTATAGCCATCAGGCGAAAAGTAAGTTGTAATATTTTTATTTTTATTTTTATCATTATTATTATCTTATTTCATTTTACTTCCATGTCTTTTCTATCTATCTTTACTATATTATCGATACTACCTTATGGTTGGTTGCACACGATCATGGAATGATAAAGCGCCTAGGTGAGGGGAAGACAAGAAGAAGAAAAAGGTACGAAAGGAAAGAAAAAAAAAAAAAAAAAAGACGATCGCAGGTATTTACACGTGTAAAACGCGACTGCATTCTAGACCACATACCTTCGTCCTTGTCGTTCTTGCGGGACTGGAGCGCCTTCGGCACTTTGTGGGGCTTCATATCTCTTATTTATTCCTTCTAGCTCAAGTCCTTTTTGGATTGGGCAGTCTATAAGACTAGAGTTGCAGAGTTGCAGAGACGCGCCGACGCAACTTTGCGTGGCAAGTGCTTCCTGCCAATTGGGATATTCGTACCGACGTTGGAAAGGGGGGGTAGGAAGGAACGCTGGGAAACAAGTCGCCAATGAAGTCACAAAGCTGTTCGCTTATAGGCTGCTAGCTAAGCAACACCTAGCAGCAGGCACAACTACCTTGCATATTACTGCAGATTGCAACTGCAACGCTTTGAACGCTTTGGGCCACTGTCAGTGCAAGCCTGCGTTCTTCATAGCACTTATTGCATGCATGGGTGCTTCCTTCTATGCCAACTATGCCCGTTCCTGCAGCACGGCACACTTTCACCCCTTCCCTTTACATATTGCATAACATATTACCTGATTTCCGAATTTTGCCTTTTCTACCAGTCATATTCCAGTCTTGAACGCTTTTACTAAACCTTTGCCCCCCCTTTTCTACAGTATTTCTCCACCTTGGAGCGTTTACGTCTTGCTCAGACTGTTGGTGTCTTGGACCCCTCAAGCCCACCCGACAAGGAACTCCGCCAACATCATCAACGTCGTGGAGCATCGCTCGGCGCTATCGTTACCGGTAGACCACTAGAGCGACCGACTACCTCTCCAA